ATGAGTCCTTTCTTCTGTTTTCCCTACCTCTTATTTTGTGTTTTAGTTTCTGAAAGATTTTCTTAAACTTACCTTCATTTACCATTTTTGTGTGGAAGGTACCAGGGATGGAACCTGGGGCCTCCACACTGAGCTGCATGCCCAGCTCTTTTTATTTTTTTGAGAGAGGGTCTCACAAGGTTGCTCAGTTGTCCAGGCAGGGCTTGGACAACTATCCTCCTGCCTCAGCCTCCCAGAGTGCTGGGGTTATAGATGGGCACCTCCATGCCCAGCCACCAGAATCTGTATTTTAACCATCCTTGTGATTTCCAGTTATTTCCTCTCCTTTGGCCTTTCTTTTTTAAAACTGCATTTTATTCCCATTTGGGGGTACAGCATCTTACCTCCTGGGGATTTAGATTCCATTTTCCTTGATAACTCCTTCTACCACCTGTATTTTTCATGATTGTGCCAAATTCCCTCTTTCCCTTTTATTTGTGTTTTGGTCCCCTCTCCCCACTGGGCCACCTCCAATGCCTGGTGACCCGGGCGCTTGTGCACCGAGCCGAGGCGCTGCTCATCTGTGTGTGGCCCGACTCCTGCGGCCAAAACCCAGCCGTGGGCCCCCAGCGGCCCGCTGGGGTCTGCTGCACCGTGCACTCCTCCTCCAGGGAGTTTCCTGGTTCTGTTTCTTTTCTCCCTGCGTCTTGCAGGAGGGGAGGGGCTCTCTTCTACTTACTAATTATTTTAAAATATATGGCATATAGATGCACATTTAGAGTACATTTATATACAAAGTTACGAATGCATTATGTATGTTGTCAGTATACAAACTTTACATATTATATGTATTTATGGGTAATGGTAAAATAAAGAACACACAATTATGCATAACACTGTATAATATATAAAGATATATATTCACATATATCTGGGAATGGAGCCCAGGACCACTGTACCACTGAACTGTATCCCCAGCCCTTTTTATTTTTAAATTTGAGACAGAGTTTCACTGAGTAGCCCAGGCTGGACTCCAAGTTTTGATCCTCTTGCCTCGGCCTCCTGAGTAGCTGGGCTCACAGGTGTGTGCTGCTGTGCCTGGATCATTATTTGTGTGTTGTCAACAATCTGGCTCTGTACCTTTTTCTTGGTTTGTTCTGCCTTCTTTCTGTATAGTCACATAGTGAGGGGTTGGGAATTCTCCATTCATGTCCCAGGATGGCCCGCATGAAATTCCACCAGTCACAGAGCTTAGGGGACAGGACTTTCCCTCCCCCAGTTCCACAGGCTGAGGTTGAAAACCAAGGAGCTGCAGGTTGGCTCTTGCCAGGCCCCCTGCAGCGTGTGTGCCCCAGCGGTCCTGTGTGTGCGTCCGCAGTGTCTCGTGAGGACTCCAGCGCATGAGTCGGCCCACCCTGGCAGCCTGTGCTCTCCAAAGCGCCGATGTCCAGCTGCGGTGGGGGCTCGGGGCCCCATCGCGATTCAGCCCATGCCCAACCCCAGGAGCTGTCACCCTTCCCCGCCCAGCCAAGGACTTTTCACACAACCCCAGTGGTGCTGGTGACAGTGAGGGCAGCGTGGTCATTCTAGGAGTCTCTCATGGACACAGTTTACCAGTGACCTCGAATACCTTCCGTGTGAGCAAGTGGTTGTCCTGGAGCTTCCCCAGGGGTGAGGGTGAAGACTGTGTGTGTGTAAATATCAGCTGCCGAAAGTTCGGAAGGAGAGGGTCCGCTGGTGTGGGCTGGCTGTGTGCACAGCCCCGGATTCAGTCCCCAGCACCAAAAGTAAAATAGTGAAATGAGAACCTCAGACTGAGCTCCAGCCAGGACCAGCCTGTGGTTTGATAGAAGCTCTCGTGCCTGATGGTGGAATGGTCAGGCAGCTGTGAATACAGTGGAGAAGAGTGGGACACAGCCGGGGGCCTGACGGGAAGAAGGTTCTGGAAGCTCTGCTCCCTGGTCCTCTGCATCCCTGAGGCACGGGCCGTTCCATGGCAGGAGTCACCAGGGCTGAGGCGCATGCAAGTTGCAGGGCCTCAGGGATCCCACCTCGGTGGTGAGAGGTGGGCCTTGGGCTGTGGTACCAGCATCTGGGTGCCCTTCATCTCCAGGGATGTTTGTTTTGGGAGTGTCCCAGGTCACTTAGGGTCTGGCCAGCATGGCCTCCATGCTGTGACCTTGCTCTGCTGCCATCTGCTCCCAGAACCACTGGGACTCTCCTCCGGGCCAAAGCCTAGAGCAGTAGGGCAGTGAGGGGCACCCTCAATTTTGTGCTGTCCTTGCGCTGATCCAGGCACCGTGCCACCACTGCCACCGGCTTTCACCTCTTTGCCACCGGGGCTGAGGAAGGCTGGCCGTAAGTCTCCTGGGAGGTCGCGCCCAAGCCATGGCCCCCCTTCCCTGCTAACAGGGGCCACCTCCCCTGAGTCTAGGGCTGCTCCCTCAGGTTTGCTGCTCTCTAGGGTTCACTGCTTGCTGAGGCTCATTGTTCCCCACAGTCCCCAGCTTTGTGGCGCTTTGAGGTCAGTATAGGGTACAGATACCCTGCCCCCGACCCCACCCTGACCCTGGTGGCGAGTTCCCAAGTTGGAGGTCACTGGTGGTGATGCCAACTGATTGCTGGGGTGCAAAGCTCTGTGTCCCAGCTGGGCATGGTGGCGCATGCCTGTAATCCCAGCACTTGGGAGGCTGAGGTAGGAAGATCGTTGTGAGTTCGAGGCCAGCCTGGTCCACATAAGTGAGTTCAAGGCCAGCCTGGACTGCATAGTGAGACCCTGTCTCAAAAAAGACCAAAAAAAAAAGCTCTGTGTCCCACGCTTGGTCTTGCTTTTGCCCCCAGTGTGGGATCTGTGACAGTGGCTGGGCTGTGCAGGAGTGGTAGAGGCCACGTGCCCTGTTTGCCGCAGTGGGCAGCTGCTGCCGGACGCCAGGCCCTTTCGAGAAGAAAGACCTGGGGTTGGTTGTCACATCTTTGACTTTTTAAGGGACACAAGATCGGAACTTTTATGTGAAACTTCTGTTTGGTGATTCTAGTTTTTCATGGCAAGGTTGCGTGGGGCAGGTACAAGAACAGCCTGTGTGGGCTGCAGCCTTGGGCACTGCTTTGCAGCTTCTGCTGCTGTGGGCTGGGAGAGTGTGGCCAGGCCCCGGGCCATGCCTGGACCCCGATGGGGGAACCATCCCGTCCACCGGGCTCGCGGCCTCTTGGCTCGGATAACCGGGACCACAGTAGTGGAGCTTTGCCACGTGCATGGTGCCTGGCCAGCGCCTTTCCGTCTTGGTGCCTGCGGGGCCGGGAGTTCTGCTCCTGTTCTGCGGAGTGGAGCAGAGTCAGAGAGGTGCAGCCACCGGCTCACAGTCGCACGCGCAGGAGAGGCAAGAGGGGAGCGGTCGCGCTGGCGGTTCTCCCTTCTTATTGTATTGTGCTGTACTCAAAGCGTGCTTGGAAAATGCTGCTTCAGTTTGTGCAAGTTCCAAGACACCTTGCTGCGAGTCCCCCTCCAGACCTCCCCCCGCTTCGGGCGCACACACCCCTTCGTCCTTTCCACTTCCCGCGCCAGCTCTGGGCCCGCTTTCCCGTGCTTAGCGGCTCTGTTGGGGCTGCCTCGAGGTCCTGAGTGGATCCAGGACGTTTCTCCTAAGGGGTCATTTTGAAAGCCAGGAGTTGCACGGTGCCAGATCTGGTGCACCAGGTGGACGCGGACACCATCACGCATTTACGAGCCGCCTTGCTGCTGGGCGGTGCTTAGCAGCAGCACGCACCATGTGTGTGATCACACCCTGTAACAGCAGAGGAGGGCTCCAGCACTGCTTGGGAGAGCGGCAAGAACAACGGGACCGTGCGTCTGAAGTGAGGGGAGTGCTTTGAGGAAGAGCCATGGCACTGTGTTCTCTACTGTAACGCATTTTTAAATGACATATACATTCACCATATTTTTCGATCATCCCATGTATAACTACAGTTTCTCTCTTTCTGAGGTGAAGTCTCACCTTGAAACTCCTGCACTCAATCCTCCTGCCTCAGCCTCCTGAGTGGTTGTGAGTGTAGGTGCAGGTCACTGCGCCCGGCTCTTTAGCCGCTCCTGAGCATGCGGCGCTGTGACGCTAAGTGCGTTCTCAGTGTGGCCGCCGTCCTCGCCGCCAGCACGTAGCGCTTGTGCTGCGGGCAGGACAGAAACTTGGTCCGTGTTCGGCACTCCGGCCCTCGCTGCCTCCCAGCCCTGGCCGCCCCCTCATTTTGTCTCTGGACTTGGGGCTGCCGCAGCCTCAGCAGGATGCGGGTCGTGTCTGCGTCTGGCCCCTCTCCCTCGCGCTGTCGCCTGGCCTCCCTCCCCTTCAGGGCGATCGGTGCCCTGTCACGGGGCGCCTCGTTGTCCTGTCCTCCGCTGGCAGGACATGGGGTGCCGCCCTGTGGCTCTCAGGACACTGGCTGTGACTGGGGCTTGCAGGTGTCAGTTTGGGTCCCCGACTTCCCTGCCTGAGGGTTTGCCGAGTCTGCTGATTCTCGTGCCGCAGCCCCTTCCCCATGCTGTCCCTTCCACGCTGTCCCCGCTCAGAGGTCTTGAGACGCTTCTTGGATGCCTCCAGCAGTGGGGATCTCACTACCTCCCCAGGCAGCCCCCTCAAGGTTCAGGACACTGTGTGGACCATGCTGGGGCTGACCCCCTCCTCCTGGCCTCCCCAGTTGCCTGTTCTTACCCCATCTGTAAGGGAAGGAATCAGCCGTGGGAAGCCGATGGAAGGGCCTTTGAGTTTTTGTTGTTGTTTGTTTTGTTTTGATTCTGTGTTTTTGAGACAGGGTCCCCTATATAGTCCAGGCTGGCCTGGAACTCACGTGGTGGTCCAGTCTGGTCTTGAATTCATAGCAATCCTCCTGCCTCAATCTCCCGAGTACTGGAAGTGCCTTTGAATCAGCTCTTGGTGATGTGAACTCTGGAATTGCACCTGGGCCATCCCAGTGGCACCAGGCTCGGAGGTGCTGGCAGACACAGGCTCACCCCCTCTCCTTTGTCTCCCTAGGGACGTACCAGGGCCAGTGGGTCGGCGGCATGCGCCAGGGCTATGGCGTGCGGCAGAGTGTGCCCTACGGCATGGCAGCGGTCATCCGCTCGCCCCTGAGGACGTCCATCAACTCCCTGCGCAGCGAGCACACCAACGGCTCGGCACTGCACCCGGACGCCTCCCCGGCGGGGGCCGGCAGCCCGGCCGTGTCTCGGGGCGGCTTCGTGCTGGTGGCACACAGCGACTCGGAGATCCTCAAGAGCAAGAAGAAGGGGCTCTTCCGGCGCTCGCTGCTCAGCGGGCTGAAGCTGCGCAAGTCAGAGTCCAAGAGCAGCCTGGCCAGCCAGCGCAGCAAGCAGAGCTCGTTCCGCAGCGAGGCCGGCATGAGCACCATCAGCTCCACGGCCAGCGACATCCACTCCACCATCAGCCTGGGCGAGGCCGAGGCCGAGCTGGCTGTCATCGAGGACGACATCGACGCCACCACCACCGAGACCTACGTGGGCGAGTGGAAGAACGACAAGCGCTCGGGCTTCGGCGTGAGCCAGCGCTCCGACGGGCTCAAGTACGAGGGCGAGTGGGCTTGCAACCGGCGGCACGGCTACGGCTGCATGACCTTCCCCGACGGCACCAAGGAGGAGGGCAAGTACAAGCAGAACGTCCTCGTGAGCGGCAAGCGCAAGAACCTCATCCCGCTGCGCGCCAGCAAGATCCGGGAGAAGGTGGACCGGGCCGTGGAGGCCGCCGAGCGCGCCGCCACCATCGCCAGGCAGAAGGCCGAGATTGCAGCCTCCAGGTAGGGGGTCGGGGGTAGCCGGGCGCTCTGCAGCCGCCCAGCTGGTGTCTGAGGCCCGCTCTGCTCAGTCGCACTCCCCTTTGAGGCCCAGGCAGATGTTTCTCAAGCTGGGCTCCGTAGAACCTTGGGGCTCCTCAGAGGTGCCCGTGGGTTGGGGAGGGGCAAGGGAATGGTTGCTCTGCAGGTCCACGGGGCCCACAGCTCCACTGCAGCAGGGCAGCAACTCTCGGGTGCTCCGTGTGTGTCTGATGTGTTTCACGGGTGCTGTTGGTGGACATGGAAGGTGGCTGTTCTGTTGGTATGAGGTGTGTCGTGGCTACTGGGTAAGGAAAGGGTGTTTGCCGCCTGGCTGCCACAGGGACACAGAGGCGGCTAGCAGCTGCCTGGCCGCAGGAGGTGTTCCCAGCCAAGCAGACCGCCTGCGGGCACTGCCCCGTGGCTTGCATAAGACTTGGTGCTTTGGGCCAGCAGCTGCCTGGAATGGAGTTTGGATGCTGAATTTGGGGTTCAGAGGGGCCACAGCCCCTAAGGGACAGGTTCCAAGTGGCCAGGGGTTGCTGTGGGATGTCAAGGCATCTGGAGCTGGCAGTTAGCCTGAGGCTGCCTGGGATGGCCAAGGAGAGCGCTGGGTGGCAGGAGCAGGAGGGTACTCCAGGTGCACGCATCCCCTGGGCACCTGGCAGCCTTGCCAGGCTCCGGGCATTCAGAGACTCAGAGCTTTTCTTCCCGTGGCCTCTGCCACCGTCCCAGGTCAGCTTGGCCCTTGGGGCCTGCGCTGTGTGGAGGACACTTCCTGCTCTGCCTGGTGGCCTGGAGAGCTTCCAGGAAGGCTCGCAACCTCTCACCAGGTCAGACCTCGGCCTGATTCTTGTGGCCTTTGATCCACGGTGAGGAACGAAGCTGGCGGCTGGATGAGCATCCGTGCTCTCAGCGCTCAGGGCTTGCATGGGCGCGAGATGGCTCCAGGGAGCTGAAGGAGCTCGGAATTCCCACCTTGGGACTGAGGTCCGAAATCCCACTGTTCCCCTCCTCCTCCCCCAGCAGCGGGCGTCGGCGTGCGAGTACAGTACTCACCTGGTATTTTAAGAACAAATTCAGTTTGGCAGTTATTTTTAATGCCGTAGATGTAATACTCACTTCCTAAGGGAAAATTAGAAAGTCGTACTTAAAAGGCAGCAAGCGATGTCAGCGGTGGCCTGTGCCGTCCCGAGACACAACAGCGGCCGTCCTTCCTTCAGCTATTTCCTTCTGACAGCGTGGTAGGCGAGGGGCAGGCCAGGGCTGCAGGCGCCCGACGGCTCCGCGGAGGAGTGGGCGGGGCTGCCGACGCCTGAGTGGCTCTGGCTCCCACGGGAGCCGTGGTGGAGGCAGGATGAGCACAGGGCAGCCGGGGAGGTGCTGGGCGGGATGGCCACCCTGGTCTTGAGGTCCAGGGTATGTGCAGCTTGCAGAGGCGGCTGCGTGGAGCGTGGCACCTCCCACAGGGCTCTGGGTCTTCGCAGCTCACGGGACCCTTTGTGCGGGTCATAGGCTGGCATCTGTGAGGCTCCATGGAACGTGCAGGGGCCTCAGCCAGGCGTCGGATCGGGGAGACGGGCCCTGGGCACACACCCACGGCAGACGTGGCCAGCTGATGGCTGCGTTCAGACCTTCCCGCCGGGTGGCCCTTCTGAGAGACTCCGGCTGTGGTGCCAGGGTGGGCGGAGCCTCACGGGTGGTCATGGGGCCCCAGACACTAAGGAGGGCAGCGCCTGGGCAGGACCACGGCTGGTGCAGGGCTGTGCTTCCTGCTTGCCCCTCAGCCAGGGCCATTCTGCCTCAGGCTGGACTCAGGTTCCTCTTCATGGAGCGGGGTGGGGCTGGCATCCTTGCAGCAAATAGCGTTGCTCTAGGGATGGGGATGTGGTGCGTAAAACCATGGTCTGCAGGCTGCTGCAGACCCCACTGCAGCATGAGCCCCTGCCCCATGCCAGTCCTGAGAGCTGGGCCGTGAGGATCTCTGCCCTGGCCTCCTGTGGGTGGTTGCATCTTCACCTCTAATGCCAGCTGTGGGAGCAGAGGACTTTGCCATCAGCCCTGTGTGGGTCCTGGTGGGGAGGGTGACTTCCTTCCAGGGATGCTTCCTACAGGAAACAAAATCCTTAACGATCTGAAACGGGAAGGTGGTGTGTGTGTGGGAGCGTGTGTGTGTGTGTGTGTGTGTGTGGAGGGAAACGTGTGGGAGCATGTGTGGGGGGAGCATGTGTGTGGGAGCGTGTGTATGAGTGTGTGTGCGTTTGTGTGTGAGTGTATGTGTGTGGGAGTGTGTGGGAGTGGGGGGTATAGAGGGAGTGTGTGTGTTCTCAGGGTTGAGGATGGAACCTAGGGCCTTACACACACTAGGCAGTTACTCTACCTCTGAGATACATCCCCAGCTCCTTTTTTTGTCTCATTTTTAAATTTTGACAGAGTCTTGCTTAACTTGCCCAGGTGGGCCTCAGAGTTAGAATTCTCCAGTTTTAGCCTTACCAGTAGCTGGGATCATGGGTATGCACCACATGACTGGCTAATATTTTTGTTTTTTTAAAAATATCTCCCGTTAAATATATACATATATATAAATTTTTTTTTTCTTTTTGAGACAGGGTCTCGCTGTGCAGTTCAGGCTGGCCTTGAGCTCACTTTATAGCCCAGGCTGGTCTCAAACTTGAAACGATCCTCCTGCCTCAGCCTCCTGAGTGCTGGGATTACAGGCTTGTGCCACCACGCCCAGCCCCCCATTAAATTTATAAAACCTGGTTAAGCGATAAGACAGATCTGTGTAGAGTCACCTTGTACCTCCTCAAGCTGTCCACCCCTTTAGATATAGTTTTTTTTCTCAATCCCTGCTTAGACTTTGTCAGAGCTTTTGTCAAGCCTTCTGTGGTTCCCCTTTCTTGTGGTCAGCTGTGGCCAGAAAACTCCAGAAATGAGCAATGCCTAGATTTTAGCGGGGCTGTTCACCACTGTGAGCACCTAGTGGGACCCGACACCCTCCTTGTCTGTGCTGTCAGCTTCCCCATTGCTGGAACAAAACACAGGAGGCCGAAGCTTAACGGAGGCCTGTGGTTTCAGGGTCCAGTCCATGGGCGGCTGGCTCCGGGAGCCTCGTGGTGAAAGAGCGTGAGGGAGGAGAGCTGCTCCCTGCAGGGTGGCTCGGAAGTGGACAGAAAGGGAAAGAGCCTGCGGGGAAGGCACCAGGAGCAAGACGTAGGCCCCAGGGTCAGACCCCGATCACAGACACCCCCAGAAGTGTGCTCGCCGACTCCTTGGGTGGATATCTTAATCCCGTCAGGTTGACAGTCGGGACTCCCTGTCCCGTGGAAGGTGTGAGTCATCCCCGTCCAGTGTCCACACTGTCTAAACCACCACTCCCTGGTTGCTGAGCAGATGGACTGTCAAAATATGCGTACCCTGAGGCCCCCTGGCATCTGTCCCTGCCAGTGAGGGGTGACTGCAGACGTCACACTTCATAATCTCTTTACAGGGAAGGGTCTCCTCACGCCCTTCTCTCGGGGAGAGCCCCCTTCCTCCCATCACATCCAGGCTGGCTTTCTCCCTTGGTGCGTCTTTTGTAGCCTCACAGTGTTCTGCGGTCCGGCTGCCCCATGTGGCCTGAGCCCGCCCTGTGCAGGATCATTTCGTCGTCTCTGTCCTCTCAGTCCTGCGGGGCTGCAGAGCCAGGCTTCTCCGCACTGCCACCTCCTGCCATGGGCACTGTGGACTGAGGCGTGAGCGCTGCGTGTGGCAGCTGCCCCCTCCTTTCCCAGCAGAAGGTTTTGGCGCTCACTGGTCGCTGTGTGACACGTACTTGTCCCCGCACGGGTGGGTAAAGGTCCCCATGCCCGGGCCTGGGGATGTGTCACCGTGGGTGGAGGAAGGACCTTTGCAGATGTGACCGAGGATGGAGACGTGAGGGTGGCTCTGGGCCCCCTGGGCCGGCCGGTGTCCTCGAGGGGTCCTTGTAAGGAGGCAGGAGGTCAGAGTCACTGTGGGGAGGATGTGGCTGGAGCAAGGTGCTTTGCAGATGGAGAAAGAGGCCCAGAGCCCCAGAAGCTGGGAGAGCTAAGGGAGAGATCCCTGTCACCCCAGAAGGAGCCAGAGCCCCCGGCCTTTTGGTCCTGAAGACCCCCTTTGGACTCTAGGAGACCAGCAGGGTTGTCTCGCCATGCTCGGGGATTTTCTTAGGGCAACTGCAGGGTACTCGCAGGCTCCACGCTGTGGCTGAGGATGGTACTCTCCTGGGTGCCCTGCCAGAATGGCGTGCCCGCCTGGTCCTGCTGGGCCAGGCTGCCCACAGCAGTGCCCCCTGTCAGAGGGGCTGGGCTGGCTCTGTGCAGCTTCCTGCCCTGCAGGAGGGCTGGCTGTGTGCTAGCAGAGAGAGGCCTTCTGGCAGGCGACAGCCATCTGTTCCCGCATGGACCTCACTCCGTAAAAGGAAGCCGTAAGGGAGAGCCCGGGATGGGAGTTAGGGTCCTGGGAAATGGCCAGGCTCAGGGCCAGCCGAGGGGGCACCGAGGGCAAGAGGCTGGCATGGGGCTCGGCACCTGGCTGCCTCTGACTGCACCCTCAAGCCCTCTGGGCTCCGTCTGGCCCATTGATCCAGGAAATCTTGACCTCTCGCCCGAGTCTGGCATCTTCCTGCAGTGGCAGACGGCGGGGCCAACCCTACACACCTCCTTCCCCCTGACCTGCTGTGGGGGTCAGCAGGTGCGGCTGTCGGGTGCAACTGGGGTGGCTGTCATCTCCTCTCTCCTCCTGGGGAGCCTCACTGGGTGGGAGCACGGGGCCTGTGACTCATCCCACGCTTCCACCAGACTTGGAAATGTGTGGGAGAGACACGGGAAGTGGGAGTCAGCCACAGCCCCGGGCCCTGACCATGGGTCCTGCGGCTCCTGGGCCTTCCCTCCTCTGGAGAGCAGCCATTGCTGTTGGGCAGATGGCAGGATGAGCCCCACAGGGTCTTGGGGACCCGACCCAAG